ACCCTCGTTCGAACTTTGTTTGAAGAGGTGTGAGCCGTGTCTTAGTAATCGTTGTCCAAAGAAGTCAAAGGTGCAATCCATCTCAATTCAACGCAAGTTTTCTCACCGGAAAACAGGTAGCGACAAGACGACATGGCAACGAGTGCGAAGAGGCAATCCTTTGGCACTAACATATTATTTTGTTCTGCGGTACCTGCTTCAATATTTTTTTTTTAAAAGTTAATTCATAATATTATTCAGTATTATAATTACTGATTTTATGTCTCGAAAAATATTCCCCATGGGGAATCATCTAATTCATAGAACAATGCTCTAGTTCGATAATCAAACAACCAAGTAAAAGTGATGAGATTTTGGTGCATAACCTCTTTTATTTACAGTTGTCATGGATTTCAAGAACTATAGTTAAAAGGTTTTCAATTTCTCACAAATTCAACGAACTATACCTCATTTGTTCCAACTATGATTTTAAAACATTTTGGGTTAGACAAGTCATATTAATTGAAACTTGTTAAGAAAAAGTTGAAGAAGACTATGATGAGTACTTTTATAAGAAGTATACAACAACATCAAATACAATAATAGCTATGTAATAATCTACCTCTAGTCTTCTATTATTTTTAACTTCAAACTCATTCATTCGAGGAGAAAATTGTACCCACTAAAACATAAAGTTTCGACCAATTAGTGTATATCAATTGCGGTTATTTTATAGATTTTGAATTTAGCTCCGAGTTATAGATAACATTGTTGAATCTAACTTTATTGGTATTGTCACAAGGGAGTTATGTTTTTTGAAATGCCTACTGAGAAACCACTAAAATTAGTTAAAGATGAGAGAATCATCACCTTCTCATCCCCTACAAACTGAGAGAATGAAGTTGAATTTTCATATTAAGTTCATGGGTTACAACATCGCCAACCTCATAAGTGGGTCACGATTTTCAAGATAATGAAGGATGAAGAAGAGCAATCTCAGACAAAATTCATGACTTGTATTAGATAAATTGAAGTTCGTAAAAATGGAGTTTCATCATCCTAAATATTTTACCATTAAATTTTTGTGTTCGGTGAAATGCACCGGAAGAAGGAAGAGTTTATATAGTGTAAGTAATGAATTTAGTGATGAAGATAGTGACATATTAGAGATAAAGGAACATATTGTTGATGGTGAATATTGAAATTTTGATGATGGGAGGAAAGAGCTAGTGATTGACTATATGTATGATTTGGATGAGTTGAATTCTACTATCGTGAAAAATGATGTTTCACATTTCCAAATATTTCACTATTAAAATTTGATTTTTAATGAAATGCAGGAGAATAACTAGGGATGGCAGGCCCGGGTCCGTAAGCTAATACCCGCCCGAAGCCCGCCCGAATTTGGGCCTTGTGGTTGCTGATTTGAGACCCGTCAACGGGTGGCGGTGAACCCAGTATCCGTCAACGATGGGTCTCGGGTGGCGACAGATTGACGACTATCCGCCCCGTAACTCGCCCGACGGATAACCCGTCCCGCAAAACGTCGTAGTTTTGGTCGAGGTATATATTTGCTCCTAACGACTGAGTTAACCCTAGTTCATTCAGACGCATCCTTCATTCTATCCATTCGCCCAAAAATGAAAGAAACCCTAATTCCTTCTTTCTCTCTGCCTCCCTGGCGATCAGATCGCAAAAAGATCGCGATTCAACAGATTTTTCGCCCTTTCCCCTCTCCAAATCACCAAATATGGAGACTTTCTCCTAGTCCATTTGTCTTCTGTCTTCAATTCCTCCAATCAAATGGCAAAAGGAGCAACCATTTGATGACGATTTCGTCGACCACAACCCAGAAAAGAGTCGTTAGGAGTTGAATCATGCTCCCAAATCGCTGATTCCTTGTTAACAGATAATGATCCTTTTTCTTTCTTTTCTTTTCATTCGATTTTCGAAGTTAGACCCAAAATATGAACTGATTCTTTTACTTCTATATATAGGGGGAATTTCCTAGCGAGTGTTCAACCTTCGTTTCTCATCATCTGGCCATCTTTTTAGATCCAGAACACCCCAGTCCCAAAGAGTAGAGACAGAGAGGTAGAGACGAGACTCGAGAGCAAGTTCTTCTGGGTAAGGTCTTGATTTCTTGTGTTCTTTTTCAGGGTTCGGTGTCAATATAGACGTGCATGCATAGTACTAACTAGTTTTGTTTGTTGTTCATTCCTTTTTTTTTCGTAGACTCGGTTTAATTCGATCTTGGAGGATTGAAGATCAAGGGAGCAATCGACTGACGAGTGACCACTGTGTGCTCGACTACTTGACATTCTTCAGAAGGCTCGTTAAGTTGTCCAGAAGGTAATCTTTTTGGGGTTTTGGTGTTTTTTTTTTGTTTAGTGGTGTATGAAGAGATATGATGCATGGATGGAGAGTTCTAACTAGATTTTGCGTTTGTTGTTTGTTCTTGTCCATTTGTTTTTGGTGTTTGTAGCGACCTTTGGAAATTGGAATAGATACCTCAAGGACTTGCAGATCATTGACCAAATAGGCAAATACAATCAACAATCTAGTAATCTACAAAGTGCAGACTACAAACAATCTCAAGTTAGGTAATCCACTTCTCCTTTCATAACCTTGTTGTCTTGCTCGCGTAGTTGTGTGACTTGCTCAGTTGTTGTGACTTGTACTTAATTATCATAAGAAACGGTTAGAATTACTAGGTCAGATTCATGAATTTGTAACCTGTTTTGAAATGTTAATGGTAATGCTAAGTGGTTTTGTGTGCCTTCTCAATGTAAAACCGTAGAACACTATAATTATACTGTAGTAAGTAAAACTGTAGATCCTTAACTAATAAGTATTCAAATAACTTGATTTTATTCTGATGGAAGGTGCAAATCCAATGATTGTGGATCCTGTTCCTAATGGCAATGTCCCTGAAAATGGTGTCCAACCTGAACAACATGCTCATATTACCACTAATATCGTTAGTGGTAATGAGGAAGAACTGGAAGCACAACGTAAGTTAACCTCTAATGTGTGGCCTCACTTCCACAGAGTTAGGATTAATGGGGTAATGAAATCTAGGTGTAAGTACTATCGTAAACCCCTTGGTTGGGGCAACAAGTAATGGAACTTCACACTTGAGAAACCATATCAAAACATGTATCCAGAACAGGATACATGATGGTCCTCAAAAAATACTTGGCCCCAACTATCAACCTGCTGGCAATCCTCAACTCTTTGCTTCTCAATAAAATTATGAGGTTTCTAGGAAGGAGCTTTGTTCTATGATTCTGGACCATGAGTACCCCCTTAGCCTTGTTGATCATGTGGGTTTCAAAAACGTTTTTGTTGTTCTCTTCAACCTCAATTTGCTGTCCCTAGTGCTAGTAGAAACACGGTGAAAAAGGATATTCTGTATGGGGTTGAAAGGTCTAAATATCAGACCATGATTGATGGAAACTTGGGCAGAATTTCAGTGATTACTGATTTGTGGATTGTCACAAATCAGAAAATGGGCTATATGGCAGTAACTGGTCACTTTATTGACAACTCTTGGAAGCTTCGTAATATAATGTTGAGGTTTATGTATGTTCTAGCCCATCACACTAGTCAAAGGCTAGCTGATAGGTTGTTTGATTCACTTCTTGATTGGAACATTGATGGAAAGAAAAGAAACAACTTAGCTAGTTAGCTTTGCTACAAAGCCTCCACTGCAAGTATAGAAAAGCATTTGCAATGAACTACGTGAATTCACGCACTCTTCAATACCGAATGATCAACAAAATCACGAATTTTTATTCGATTGGATAATACTGAAATTTATATAATATGAACAAGTGCAAAATTCGCAAGATATGAGAGGCCGGGGCCACATGAGGGAAGGGATGACATGTCGTCCGGCATCACCGGCGGGGGCGGCCGGTACCTCGTCGCATTTTCCGGCGGAGGGTTGTTTGGGCGGCAAATTCCGGGATGTGGGACCCGCAGAGATGATCGTTCCTTCCTTCCGTTTCCGTGTGGGGTGGCAATGGCAATGCGAAGTCGTAATCGTAAATGGTGGTGGTGGGTGTTGCCACATGAATCATGATTAGCTGGTCCACATCACATGGCTCGTTTGCGCTTACCGACGTCCATCATATATCTTTGGGGTTTTGTCGATGTTACCGACCTTAAATTATTGATTATTAATAATAATAATAAACAATATTGTAAAGTCCAGAGTATAATTCCTTCCTTCCCGCCCGCATCCATCCATCCAGTCCAGGCCGCTTGGCAGGCTTTTGTTTGCTGGCGGGAACTCCTCGGACCCCCGATATTCCCGCCCACACGAAGCGTAATCCACACGATCGATTTTAGCCCAGCTGGCTTAGACGACGCAATTACTTAATTGCTAAGTTGTTTAATTAATTAATTAATTAATTTATTTATTTATAGCACCAGTGCATGCAAGTGTAACGAAAAGCTACATACCTGGCACTCTGATCCGATCGCCATGTGTAAAATAGTTAAATTAATTAATACATGAAGTTAGAAGAAGATCATCTTGTAGTGTTACGTATGCAAGGCAGGCAAGCAGTGTGAGGCAATGTGATGTGGCGTATAAATTAGCATACTAAAAAAGAAATTTCAAAATCCTGCGTTATATCTCTTTGTGGCCACCGATAGGGCTATAAAATCGTATTAAATATTCTCAAAGTTTATACAATATTTATAGGGATCGGAGTTTGACGTCGCAAGACAGATTTCTCCTCGTATAATTTTTTTTTGTTTTTGAAAATCACAGCTACCATTCACTCGATTAAGTAGATAGGAGCCCGGTGGAAAACAAGAGAAAATCGAGGGGCATTAAAAACCAAAAATTTGGGCCAGTAAATTAATTAAGATGAGATTCGTGATTCGTCCAAAAGAAAGCTGCAAAACCAAAACCAAAAAAAGGGAGGGAGCTTTGCTCAAAAAAAAAAAAAAAAAAGAGGGAGGGAGCGATTAGTAATTTGATTAATTAGTGTGTTCACCGTAGATACGGGAGAGAGAGAGAGGGTGTGGTGGGGGGGTATAAAAGGTAACTTCTTGCTGCGGCAGTTAAAAGAGAGATTTACTTTAAAAACCTCGGCAAGGCAAGTACAGAGCATTTAAACCACAAGCAAAGGAACCGTTTGCTGAACCCAATCCACCCCCAAACTCTCTCTTCCCCCCCCCAAAAAACTCCGGCTGCCCCTCCGCCGCCGTTCACTTGCTTCCAACAGTCTCTCCTCCTCCTATTCTCGCCGGCTGCGGATCTGCAATCAGCAGTCAGTCAGTGAATCATCATCATCATCATCATGTCGGGCACCACTAACTTCATAGACATCCTGCTGGCCATCCTCTTGCCCCCGCTCGGCGTCTTCCTCAAGTTTGGCTGCCACGTATGCACTCTAATTTTATCACTTTATCAGTCTGCTGCGTGAAGTGGATTTTTTCAGATGAACTAAATTGACGTTTGTGGTGGCCGGGCAGGTGGAGTTCTGGATCTGCTTGGTCCTCACGCTGTTGGGCTACATCCCGGGGATTGTCTACGCCATCTACGTCATCACCAAATGATCCTCTCCTCTTCCCATCTCCGTCGCCGGCCGCTCAGGTACTTCCACAATCGCTCCTGGGACACGTGTTGGCCCAACTGCCAACTGTGTCAAGTTAAAGCATATCCAGAACAGATTGGTTCAAAAGAAGTAATGTAGTAAACTGAACTGACTGATTTGGCTCTTTCTTTGTTTTGTTTCCCCAAAATTGTGTGGACAGGTGGCGGCCGGCTGATGAATTGGGGGTGTCGTGAATAAATAATTAATAATAAAAATTTCTTGTGTGTTGTGGAGATTATATATTAATTAATTAATGTCAGCGAGTCGGTCGGTTCTCTCTTCTGTACTATGTCTCTGTGGTGTGTGGATTTCTAGTTTCCAGCTTTGTACACGAGGCACTGGGGATTGTTACTTTCCCGATTTGTTCACCTTTCTTCCTCTTTTATCTTTTGTAATTTAATTATGAGGATGGTTGATCGGATTTTTGTCTCTCTTTTCAAGTTTCTCTTGACGGGTTTTTAGTTCAATTCGTGTGTTCTTAGCTTACTTCCTTTTTCTTCACTTGTTATCGGGGTGGACATTATATAAGGTGGAGTGGGTGGAATTTTAGGCATAGATTCATCCACCCACAATCATGTCGGTGAATTTTAACGTAGCTCATGTTCATTCAAATATACCACATTGGGTAATGCTGTTTCTGGGTGGGTGGAATGGGTAAGGACGATTGTAAAATAAATCTTCAAAATTGAAACAAATATTGATAATGAAATGTAGTCCATTAGCATTAAAAGATCAATTTTCGGTGAAAAATAAGATATACAAATAATAATGGAATTAAAGAATTGAACTTTGGTAGGGGATTTGAGATTTCACATGAAGTATGTGTGGGGTATAGGGTTTGACAAGGTCGGCCAGTACCCATCAGAATTTTGATAAGCTGTGCTTAAAAACTCACACCTATCGATTATATTACGACGAGTCGGATTTTATTGGGTGGGTGGATATTCCTCCGTAAACTTGAATAAAGAGGCTAATTGAGTGCTCAAATTGACATAATTGATTGTTGGGTGCTCACCATGACCCACAACTGAATTTGGTGCCTAAAACTCTACTTGCAGTTGCAGACTAATTGGGTGCCCAAATTGATCTTTAACCTAGGAGAAGCAGAAAACATGAAACTATAAATTGCAAGAACTTCGCAAAACCAAATCTCCAATTAGGTTGGCAACGGCGGATCGGGGACAGGTAGTTAGTTCTCGTTACCCATTCGTCAAGGCAAACGAATTTTCCCTCCCCATATCCTTAACGGGTGGCGTTTGGTTTTCGTCATCATCCCCAGACAGATTCGGGTAAATCACGTATCTCCATGGATCCTGAGAACTAACAAAAGGAAAGGAAAAAAATAACCTAAAATTCCTGAAATTCAAACTCTTGATGTTCAAGGCACATAAATCCAAAACACAAAAGGAAGATCTGTGGCCGTAACCCTCCCACCACCCAGCACCCAGATCTTCATAGTTCAAACAATGAAACAAAAGTGATAGGTTGCAACAGCCAAACAAGCTGCTGCAACCAAAAACCCACCACCCAAAACCCATATAACATGTTCCTCACCACATCTACTGACTAGTGTTCAAGTTCAAAAAGAAGAGATTAAAAAACAAGGGCAGTCGGCCCCAATAACATCATCCATAAATCGAACTAAAACCTATACTACTAGCACACGAGTTCCTTTGATCTTTCCTCCAAAAGCAAGCAACGCTATGTTGGAAACCAACTCAACAACAACATTCATCCTTGAAAAGCAATCACTGCAAGAAACAGATGTAGCAAAAACAATTAGAGAAGTGAAACTCATTTTAAATTGAACAAGTTAAAAAGCCTCAAGTCTGGCTCTATACCTTGAACCTTTCAACAAATCAGTCGTCTAGGGATATTAGATGCTTCTTCATCACAAGTCCCCCTTGATCTGCAAGAATAAAAAAATACAGTTAGACATTGAAACTATCAAACTAAGTACCAATCTAAATTGAACTAATTAAACAGATTCCAAAATTGAGAACCAACTATTTTACCAGCTTCGTCTTGATCTTCAATACTGGAATCTGCAATTGTTAGAGGTGAGAACACCCCTTCCATTGCCTCAACAGCAGCCTTCGATGATTTTGCAGATTGAAGAAAAAAAAAATGAAAAAGACAATTAACATTCAATCCAATTAACATTAAAAAACTAATATGGGAGTAATTGCAGGTTACCTTGTTGCATTTCCTCCATAATCCAACTCCTCGTACACATCATGCCTCTATTGTATCATAGTGCAATCTACTCCGATGAGGGTCTATTAACCTCCCACCAGAGCTAAAAGCAGATTCAAAAGCCACTGATGTGATTGGTATGACCAAGAAATCCCTTGCAATTGCTTGCAAAGTGGGGGTACTTAAGGCCATTCAGTTTCCACCACATCAGTATATCAAACTCAATAGACCGTTTAGGAATCAGTTCCTCAAGAAGATAGTGATCCAGTTCAGTATGGATCAAAGTTGCTTTGCTTTTTTTTTTTTCCTCCGACTCACAAAAAGTTCAAAATCATGATCATCATTTGCAGGACTAGAAGAACTATCATAAGCAGTTGAAAAATCAGAATTGTTCTTCTCGGACTTGGTTTGGTAATCAAGCACCAAACCACGAATACATTGCTTAATCTTATCAGCCACCAAGTTAGTATTGGTACTGCCAAACTTAGTAGCACAATACTCAATCACATGCAGCTTGTATCTAGGATCAAGAACCACTGACACAGCGAGAACCAAGTGTATATCATCCCAATACTTAGCAATTTTCTCCCACATACTCTCAACCATAGCCGAGATAAGAGAATTGGTATCCGCACACCATTCCAACAATTTCAGTCTCAGACCGCAAACTTTGGGGAAAAACAAATTAGCAGTGGGATACTTGGTGCCAGAAAACAGCTTTGTTATCTCATTGAAAATTTCCAGCTTATCAATGACCATAGCAGCAAAATCTCAGTGCATACTAGTAGGGACAGTGGTGTATTGACTATCCCACTGCCCCAAACAAGAGAAAACATCTCTATACACAATGGCAGTAGATAGCATATCATAGGTGGAATTCCACCTCGTCGGACAATCAAGCACAAGTTGCTTCTCACAAGGCACTTTAAGCTGCTGAGCAGTTTCAAAGAAGGTCTGTACTCTCTTAGGAGTGGACTTCCAGTACACAACACTATCTCTAACCAATTCAATGCCATCCTTGATGACTTCCAACCCATCTTTCACAATAAGATTCAAAACATGAGCAAAACATCTCATTTGAACCAGTACACCATCCAACAACAAATCATCCATAGCAAGTTTAGTTTTCATATGAGTAATCATGACATCATTGGTGGTACAGTTATCCAAGGTAATCGAGGACAACTTCCTATCAAGATTCCAACCAAGCAAACACTTGAACAACCTATCTCCCAAGTCCCAACCTCTGACTAGTATGAGGGGCTGGGACATAGACAAAGCTCAACATCATGTTTTTAAGTTTCCAAGAATTGTCAATAAAATGGCCAGTCACTGCCATATACCCCATATTTTGGTTAGTTGCAGTCCACATATCAGTTGTGACTGCAACTCTACCAATATTACCATCTAAAACCTTGTGAAACTTTGCCATTTCAGCCCCATATAAAGCAAATATGTCTCTCTTCACTGTATTTCTACAAGGGACACTGAACTGGGGATACTCATGCACCATAATCATAGAACACAATTCCTTCCTAGACTCATCAACATTGAATTGAGTAGCAGATATGAGGGGTTTTCCAGTTGGTTTATAATCAAGACCAAGAACTCTCTGCCTACCATCATGTATCTTTCTTTGGGTGCAAGTTTTGTAATGGTTCCTTAGGTGGGAGGTTCCATTACTAGTATTGCCACCTAAACATTTTCGACAGTATCTACACTTGGCTTTAATCTCCCCATTAAACTTCACCCTCACAAAATGTGGCCAGACATCATAAGTCAATTTACGATCTTCCTCCAGAATTATTTCAACATTTTCATTTCCATTAGTCAACGCATCATTACCAGAACCATTAGCAGTAGCATTACCATTACTGTTTTGATTAGAAGGCACAGTAGGATCATTCACATTCAAAGCACCATTTTCAGTAGGGGTGGCTATAAGGTCCGGTCCGGTTAAATTGGCCCAAATTGATCCGGTCCGATCCGGTCTTTTTGAAAATATAAGGACCAAAGCTTGGATTGGATACAGTTCGGTCTTGATCCGGTCCGGTCTTGACCCGGTCCGGTCCCAATTTAGTCTTGATTTTATATTGAGCTTTTGGGGATTTGTGTGGCCTAAGGCCTGAAAGGGTGAGGAGTTGGTTAAGTTTTGTACTAAGTGCAAAGGTTTGTGACCGTTTATGCAAATTACCCTTAAGTTTTGGGTGTTGACCTCTCTTATCCGGTCTTTATCCTGTTTTCGATCCGGTCCCGAACAGTTTTTTACCTCAAATCCATGCCCAAAGATTGGATTGGATTGTTTACTATCCGGTCCCGATCCGGTCTTGGTCCGAGTTATACGGTCCGGTTTCGGGTAAAACCAAAAAACTCGGACCAAATAGCCAGCCCTAATTTTCAGTAGCACCATCCATCTACATAAACAATTAAACAATTGCATGCAATCAATCAAACATAACTACCCAGACAAATCACACAACAAACAATAGAAATTACAACTGAGAGTTGAATTGGAGTAAAGTTATGCTTAACCTATAATCTGGAGAGGGAGACTCTGTTCACCAGATTGCAGACGGTGAGCTGATGCCTAATGCGAACCTGAAGAACTCCCAAACAAAGCCAAAACAATCAAAATAACATTCGCATGCATCGATCGATAAAGACCTAGCTCGTGAATCTGGACTAATGAAGGCAGAAGTTTGTGCTTACCTCGACTGTGTTCTGAGTAGAGTGCATGTAATGGGATTAAGGAAGAAGTTAGGCGCACCAGTGACCTGAAATGAATTGATGGGTTACTATATATACGAGATGAAGGAAGAAGGCAAGAAAGTGCAACAGAATACGAAAGGAAAAGGGAGAAAGAACTTATCTCGATGTGTGATATCATGCCACACTACAACAAAACAGACTTTTAGCGACGAAAGATTGGCGACGACATGTACTTTCGTCGCTAAAAGCTAACCTTCAGCGACGAATTTAATATCTTCGTCGCCTATGGTCTGCATCTTGACGGAGAAATGGTCTGATGAATTTGCGACGAATTTAATAGTTTTTGGCGACCACAATATCGTCGCAATAGATTGAGGGAGATTTTGCGATGCTAAATCTCGTCGCGGAAAAAGTGTGAGTATCAGCGACGATATGGTTCGTCGCAGAATTGAACAAAAAACGCGTCGTTTTGCTAAAGTTTTTTTCAAGTTATGTTGGTCAACTCTTGTCCAAATTGACCGTTCACATGTATTTGTATCATTTTTATTTTTCTTGTTTCTTAAAGCCTATCTATATATATTACACACAAAAAACCCTCTATATTCCCTCTTTAACCTGTACCTGCAAAGAAAATCCGTAGCCTCCTAAATCTAATCCCCTGCTCCGACCTTGCGAAGACCTAGCTCCCAACTCCTTCTCCCACTACCGTCGTTCGAGATTTTGGCATCGGCGTCTCATCCCATGTCGCTACCGAAACAGAAGCACCGGAACTGCGCCGCCGCCGCTCCCAGA